TTTATTCTTTTCTCTTATAATAGTTATGTCTCTCTTTAACAAGCATATTAAAAGACTGTTAACAATTTTTAATCACCCTAATCCCAGAACTTTTGAAACGATTACCTAGTCGATTAAAAACTTATAAAAAAGCTTTGATTTTGTCACCAGAAGAGGGTTTTAAACAAAACTCGTTCTCTCCGAGTTTGCTGTAACAACAATTGCACGCAGTTTGCCAAACAAAATATCTGCATAATAGCCCAGTTATGTATACTTAGCTGAGAGTAGTCACATATGAATCTTTTTTATTTTTTTTCCAGAGGAGGAAGCATCGAAAGCCTAACCCCGTCAGTGTGAGACTTTATCCCACTAAACCTCCTACCGTCTATGTACCGATCCCCCTGGTACCACCGTTAAGTATTTCGTCGGGAGGCGGTTTGAGCACTAAGCTCTACGTCTGTTACTGTTCATGTTATTCCACTGTTTGTCTTGGTTGGTGTTAACCTACCCACCTTTTTTGTCTTGTACCACTAAGAAGTTCGTTTCTAAGTCTAGTAATGTCCAGATGCAGCAGTTTAATGCTGGCTCTTCGATTAGTTGAGAGGTTCGCCCTCTATATGCCGTAACTTTTCCCTATGAACTTTCTACCTGCCATTACGGGTTGTGTCGGAGGTATTTAACCACTTGGGCTGCCATATGGCAGACATCGTTCCAGGCTTCCTCGCTCTTTAGCATTGACGGAATCAGATTCTCTGGTGTTACGCACAAACCAAGCTTATGGTTAAGTGCGGACCTTATGGAGCTGAAGCGGGGACATTTGAAAAATATGTGCTCTGCGTCTTCGATAAATGCTGGTCCGCACTGCTCGCAGTAAGGGTTTGGTGCAAGTCTTAAGCGGTGCAAGTATGCTTTTAAACAGCCATGTCCACTGATGATTTGAGTCAGGTAGTAATCTACCTCTCCATGCTGCCTATTGAGCCATGTTTCAATTTTAGGTATTAGGCGATAAGTCCACCTGCCCTTTGTTGTCCCATCCCAACGAGTCTGCCACTGCTCCACGCTTTGTGCTTTCGCTGCGGCTTTAAGTGTTGTACGTGGTATATGAGGCTGATCCTGCCGTGCGATTCTTATTTGGGACATCTCCTGGGCCACGAGATCCAGTGGATATAATCCTGCTATAATGAGTGCTGCATCTTCGGAGATAGTTCGATAAGCTGAACATACCCTAAGAGCACTTAAGCGGTATGTAGCATTGATACCTTGTATGTAGGATGCCCGTTTGAAAGCGTCACGCCAGACTGTCGATCCGTAAAGGAGTATCGACCTCACAACCCCTGCCAAGACTTGTCTAGCCTGCTGGCGTACCTCCCCTATGTTCGCCATTAATCTGGACAAGGCTGCTGTTGCTATCGCTGCTTTCTTGTTTGCTGATTCCAGGTAGTCCCGGAAACAAAGGCGGTGGTCAATCAAGACCCCGAGATATTTTACATACGGCTTGGACTTTATAGTGGTGTCTCCTAATCTGATTCTCACTTTTTCCACCTTCTTTCGGCTAGTGGTAAGAACGGCTTCAGTCTTGGGCTGCCAGTGTTAGCGATTTTTCTCTTAACCACTCCTCAGCTACTTTTATAACTCTCTCTGCGATGGCTACTATTTTGTCCAGCGTCTTAGCTGTAACGACGTCATCCGCGAAGCCTATGGATGTGACCCCTTTAGAACAGCAAGTCGCAGGATGCCATTATACATAAGGTTCCACAAAATGGGTCCTAACACTGATACCTGAGGTATGCCCGCCATTATTTCATATTCCACGAAACCACTGTCGCTGTGGTAGCGCAACACTCTATCACTCAGATAGCTGGAGATGATTTTTTGCAAGTACCTTGGTACATTTAGGCTGTCAAGTGTGTTTAGTATATTCGCCCTTTTGCAGGTACGTATTAAACACCCTTGCAAATATCTCCGGCCTGGTACTGATCGCTTTGTTAAGGGCGATGTTTGGGACACCGTCTGGTCCTGGCGCTTTATTAACCATGAGTGTGCTCTCTGCGTTGAGCACTTCTTCGGTAGATACAACCGGGATGCTGGCGACAGACTCGCTTACTAAGTTCCTGATGAATTTGGACTGCTGCGGAAAGAGTTCCTTCACAATTTGCTCCATGAGTATTGGGCAAGTTGGTTGTGTAGTTCTCTTTAACTTTTTCATTACTAGCTTATAGGCAAATCCCCACGGGTTACTATTGACTGTAACACATAGCTCTTTAAACATTTTTCGCTTACTGTCCCGAATCGCATCCCTCAGGAGCTTTCTACTATCCTTGCATGCCTGTCTCAGCTGTAGGGCATTTGTTGCGTAACGTGAATGCTGGCATATGCGTCTAGCTCTGTTGCACTGCAATCGCAGTAGCGCGATGTGGTCGTTCCACCAGTGCCTAACGCATACACCGTACAGTACATAGGGTTGTGTCTTTTGCGGCAGCTTTGCCTCATCATAGTGATATCGCATGCCGTTGTAATCGCCCTCATAAGCTCCGACGCTGACGGTTCCACTGATAGTGATGTTTCTGCCTCGTTGAAAGCTACTTCGAAAGCTTTTCGTCGAAGTGTTTGGCTTTCCAACCTATGCTTCTATTGGGGAACGCCGTGCTTGCGCTTATTTTGTCGGTATCAATTACGATTGCGCGGTGATCGCTGTGGGTGTAGCAGTCGCTGATTAGCCATTTAGCATCTCTGCTCAAACCTCCGCTTATGAATGAGAGGTCTATGATGGAAAAAGTCCCGTTTCTGAAAAAGGTATTCTCGCTGCCGTTATTGAGCAACACCCAGTTGAGTGAGGCTAGCGCATCGCGGAGTTCTCTAACTTTTGGGTTTGTTCTTTTACAACCCCATTCAACTGCTCACGCATTAAAGTCTCCTGCGATGAGCGCTGCGCTTCTTAGTCTAGCGTCGTGCACTAGTTCGGTAATGATAATAATGAAGCTAGCCAAGTCTGTACTGGGTGGAATATAGCAACTGTAGACGTACATGTTGTTTATTTTTGCGCACACGAACCCGACCGTTGACAAAGGTGCTACGAGTTGTTTCGGAGAATTTCCGCAACTCCAAATAGCGAATTTTCCAGTTAAATTACTGACCCACGAAACTCCATCCGTGTTGTTATATTGTTCGCTTAGTATAGCTACGTCTATGCCTAACGCATACACCGTCTGGCCAAAAAGATCTTGGGCCGCTTCGCAGTGATTTAGGTTAAGCTGTAGCACCTTCAAAGTGTTTGTCTTTTTTCCATCGATGCTTTCACCTGCTGGAATGCTGGACACATTCGGCTCCCAGTCGCGTGACTGCCATTTGCTACGCCTGATGGTGGGTTCGAACATGCGCTCGCCTTATGGTCTGATTTGCCGCATCTGAAGCAGAGACTAGAATGGTCCTGTTCACTTCGGCAGTTACGTGCCACGTGTCCGAAATCATGGCATGTGAAGCATCTAGTGAGGATCACCTTTTCCCTTATACGGCATATAACCCACCCGATACGAATTTTCGATTGGTCCAAGAGCTTCTAATGACAGACTGACTGTGCATGTTTGAGTTCCTCCATAGGCAGCGCGCATGGATCGAACCGCTGATGGCACATATGAATCTGTTAAACGGGCTCTGCGTGTTAGCGGTTACCCAACGCATAGCACTTAACATGTAGAATTCTGTTAGGTTTTGATTTAGCAGTGCAAGTATGCATAACTGTGTGTGCTATGACATGCCCTGACTTGTTTGTCTCAGTTTCAGTTTTGCTATCGCTACGAGTTGTTTCGGGGCGCGCATAATTATTTAAAAATATAAGGTTTGAAGCCAACCGGGGTTTGTCAGTGGATATATAATTCATGTGAATTATAATTTGAATGTATTTATTTAGCCAAGGAAAAAGCAAAGCAGTATACTTAAACCAGCACTTTCTGCAGATATTGACCTGGGTTTTCGCACGACTATTCCTGTCTCATCGTTTCTTTCTAGGAAACTCTTACCACCATATACATACATATGTATTATTTACACTAGTAACTATTTATGTATTTGTTATGCCTAATATATGCAAATAAAAGAAGAAAGTAAACACAACAACCATCGAGTAACTTTTTATTTGTGTCAAACTGAAACTTTTTTTCCAATAATAAACGGTTAGCTGATTCACGTCTACAGCAAGTACACAAAATTAATTGAAAACTTGTATCAACCAAAGCATTGTTTATATTTGCTCAACAATGATTTTATTTAGCTAACGATATTGTCCAATGAAGGTAGTCGTTTTGTAATTATTACCAAGTATATGTACATTTGTCTCAACTAGAAGTCTCAAGTAAATTGCAGACTTTCGCGAACTAGTTATTTATTCGCTATATCCAACTATGCTGCTTGGTCACTATAACGAAATCTTGGTAATTATAACTAAACCTTTTTCTGCGTGTATATGTTACCGGTCGAAGCCGACCTTAGGACAAACCAGTTTTGCCTTGGCTAAACTAGAACAGAGGCCACAGTATTTTTGCGCAGAACTTCTTTCCGCGAAGGCAGCTTCCGGTCGCACTTAAAAAAATTACCCTCTTTGGTCCAACTCCAGGTACGCGGTCCACAATATTATTGCGTCCAACTTCTTTCCGCATTGGACGGATATATTGGACCAAGGTAGAACTAGTTTGTCTTAAGATCGGGTTTGGCTGGTAACATATACACCCCGCAACAAACGATAGCACATCACAATTTTTACCAGTTTTGACTACTTCTCTTTTGATTTAATGTTCATTATTTTTATATAAAAGTATAGCTCTTTATCTAACAAATACCATATACACCTAAATTTCAGACTTTGTACAAAAATTCCACATACTTTTCATCCCAATTCCATGCATTTTAACTTTAATTTCTAGAACAATTTGGGGTATGCAGTTTTATAGCTTATTCTAGTATAATAAAGTGCAAATTTTAATTTGCTAAAAAATCGCGCGGATTTTTAATAATTTTTTTACTAACGGTGTTATGCACTCTTTTCAAATAAAAAATTACTTAGTATGGCAGAAAAATGCGTGATACCGTCTACAAAAAAAAAATTTCAAAAATCAACGCGATTTTTTAGCAACTTAAAACGTGCACTTTATACTAGAACTTAATGATCTATAAAATTGCATACCAAAAATTATTCTAGAAATTAAAATTAAAATGTATGGAATAGGAATGAAAAGTTTGTGGAATGTTTATAATGTATGTACAAAGTCTGAAATTTAGATTTATATGGTATTTGTTAGGTAAAGAGCTATACTTTTATATAAAAAATAATGAACATTCAAACAATTAAAAGAAACGTAGTCAAAACTGGTAAAAATGTTGATGTGCTATGGTTTGTCGCGGGGCGTGCATTACTTTTTCCCACTGGGCCATTACATACATAAATACATATGTACATACATTTGTATTTTTATTCCTAAACAAATTTGTTATTATTTATAATTCCTTGTTTCTTAAAAACAATCATCCAAAGTATCAAAATAGTTAAATGCTTTCTTTATTTTTTGTGCCAAATCAAAATATTGACAGTCGCTTTTAGCGCTGTCTATAAAAGCCTGCGAATGACTCTGCCATTTTCATCAGATCCAGCACTGGAACAGGTATTACGATTATGGGCTCATATAAGAACTCGGCGAGGACTTCATCACCAGCGGATAACAACCTTCGTACAGTGGGTCATTCAAACTGGTCTTTCGGAATCCCAAACTACTCTGAGAGCTTAAACTAGTTCCCAACGATCGTCATCTGTGATCACTACTTAATGAATAATGTAATTCACTTTCGTCGGCTAATGAATGCGCAGCTGCGCTGGGTGTGATGCTGGGAGTACGTTCTCGAATACGCCCTGCCGACATGTCGCTACCTCGTCGAATACTCTTCAAAGAAATGCTTTCTTGTGAGCAGGAGCAATGACAAATAATGAGCTTAAAAGCGTAGCGAAAGTCTTTTGAAAAAAGTGCATAAATCATTGGATTTACGGCGGAATTACAGTAACCTAGCCAAAAAAGAATGGAAAAAAGAAGAGGATCAATGCAGTCTTGGCAAAACCCCCGAATAACATAGATGGTGAAAAATGGCAGCCAGCATAAAATGAAGAGTCCTACAATTATGGCAAGTGTTTTTGCAGCCTTCGTTTCCATTCGAAAACGTTTAACTTGCGTTTTGATACTTCGGCGACCGATTTTCTTATTCTGATATTGCAATTGCTGTTGCATATGGTGTTGGCTTATATCAGTTTCTTCAATAATCTTACGAACTTGCAAATATGAGTTATTGCCTTTCTGTTGGGCTAAGAGTTTTGATTCGGTGGTTTCAGTGCCTTTGGCTGAGCTGTAGTGCACTGCGCAAAGCATGCTCCCACTACCGGATGATTGATGTTCACGTATACCAGTTGGTTCGCTATTACTTAGGTCGTTGATAGTTTCACTGGATGCATAGGAAATAGATATCTTAATTTTATCATGTTGGAGTGGACGTCGTGTAGTGTACTTTGAAAGACGTTCAGGAGATGGTGTCCCCAGTGTGGTAGTAGTACTCTGAGAACTGCCATTACTATGTGTGGAATCGTGCTGGTTCGCACTACGGCCTCGGTGAATTCGCAACGTTAGGCGCTGATCGTCAAAGCGCGAACTGATGCCCTTGGATCCTAATGAAAGCACAGAGAAAAAAGACATATAATCGGACAAATATTAATATTAGAAGGGAAATGTTCTGTATAATATCGGTTAGCTTGAGGCTGGTACAAAAAATTAAGGTGGCGTGACATCACCCACCTTTTCCACTTAAAAGAGGTTTATAATCCTATCAACAGAAAACTCCTTTCTCTTACCGCAGTAAGTATTATGCATACGGTGACCAGATTTCTGTGGACAAAAATCGGGAAATTTCTAAAGCATCTAATTCGAACATATTTACAATATTTAAAACAAAACAAAGAGAAAAAAAGTTGAAAAATGGTCGCAAAAATTTATAACCCCCAATATATACGGTGGCGAGAATGTAAATAGAGAAGAGACATTTTGGCAAGTTTTGGCTACTTTTCTTTGTTTAAAAAATGTTTATTATTTTCTTATGAAGATATACTATCTAAAAAAATGTGTAAATCAAAATTTCAAACTTTTTAGAACATTAATAAAATTTCGACGAATTTTAACAAATGAATACCGTTGTAAGCGACATATTTATAAGTTTCCAGGAATGGAAAAAAACGTTTTTGATGACGCACATAAAGTCATTTGATTTAGTTTTCCAATTTTTCGGTGCAGCAGTGTCCAAGAAACTTGTCCGTAAATTAAAATATATATCTATATATATCTTTCAAGTCAAGATTTTCAAAATTTTAATGATAGAAAAACGTTTTATATCCAAATTCCAATGGATGATAACACGTTTTTCCAGTAAGCGCAGCATCTTAGCTGGTGGTGCTTACAACTTTTTTCGACGAATTATTACATTAATTATATAGCAATAAGAGGTCTTTGATTGCTGATCACAGGTCATTTTATAAAAATTGGAGAAATGCTTTTGAATAGTCTCGAATTTGAAGGTTGAGCATTGAAGAGAACAAGCGCAGTTGAAAATCTGCTGAATACAAAAACAAAATTGATATTAGCACAGCTCCTTCACTTACAACGTTTTTCCACATTACCATTTCTGGTAATGTTTTTTTAATACCACTTTCCCATTTCTTACTAAATATTCTTCCCCACTATTTCGTAGCCTCTTATTTTTCATATCTTTCGAATTTTCGGAGTTTTTGTACGGTTTTTGCCATTATTGCACTTTTGCATTACGCTTGTTAATTCTAAATTGGCCATGGTCACCTGCACTTAAAACGTTTTTCCTCTCACTACTGACTTTGGAGCGTAGGCTAATGTCTGAAAACTGATGGAAATTGAGAAATTTCGCGACCTTATAATCCGCGAGAGTATTTTTAACGGTAATCTGCGAAAAAACTAGTTTTGAGCAAATTGGCGCTTGCAACGTTATTCGCGGCGACCATTCAAATGTTGATCAAAATTTTAAACATTTCAATCAGATCTTTTAGAATTGTTTTGAGTGTGCAGTTTCGCAGCCGATTTAATTGTAAGTGTAAGTTTGAAGTAGCTTGGAATTACCGTTGATTTTTGCCAATTTTTTTTTGCGCATTTGCTTCCATACAAATTACGTTCGAAAATTTTTTTGTATAGAGAAAATGACCAACACCTTCCACGAAAAAAAACTACCAAAAATCAATGGTATTTCCTAGCTACTTAAAATTTGCTCTTCGAATTGAATGGGCTACAAGACTGGTTACTCAAAATAATTCTAAAGATATAATTAAGAACTTGAAATTTTGATGAAACTTTGTCGATCTTAGCTAACTTCTGTACAACGTTTGAAATTTTACTTACACGGTCTTTGTTAGATAGCGAACTACTCTTTCTTAAAAAAATAATAAACATTAAATAATCGAAAGGGGAATAGCCAAAGAATGCTAAAATGTATCTTCCTTTTATATATTTTCGCCGCTGTATCTACAGCTATATTTTTCATATCCATGCATTTTTTGAAGGAATTAGTATTTTTTTATAATTTCACTAAATTCAAGTTAGAATCGTTTATCTAATAAAAAAGAAACTTAACAAATAATTATAAAACCTTCAAAAAAGATCACACAAGAGTAAAGCAGAATATACACAATCGGACTTGTATGCATACTGGGTCCCTGGAGGAAGTCTATATATACACTAGCCAATGCCTGCTTACTTCGCGGTGCCTAATAAGAGCTTTTGCGTTGGCCAATGCAAAAGAGCGCTGAAAAACAAAATAAGTCTGTAAAGTCAAAATTTTTGATTCAAGTTGAAACCACTAAGGCGCAGTATCCTCCTCACACATAGTCCAATAATAGTAACGCTGTGATACCATATGGAATACCAATCCCTTTCGGTGTCATGAGCTTTACCGATGGTCTTATTTCCACCTGTGAGATCTCTGCCAAGCATGCGTAATCTTTTTGTATGATCTTGCAACTACAACATTGGTTCGATGCGTATGCCAATAAAAGTTCTTATAGGGAAACTCAAGAGCACAGAAGTGCGTTTTCTGTTATAGGAGGGCCAGGTATCCTCGGTGTCCCACAGGAAGAAAAGTTTTTCGGTACATTGCTAAATGAGTCGTGTGATCTCCTAAGTATCTTTCAAATGAAGCAATTGATATACCCACGGTGATCTTTCCTTGTAAATTCACGACTTTTACAATTCGTGGTAAAATTTATGAACTGATTTCTGGGTAGATGCAAGACCGCATGATCGTGCATGAGGGCGTCAGAAAAACTCAACCCCATCCTTCATTTAGACATCTGAAAACTAAATTCGTATAACTTAAACATAGTGCCAAAGCAGACCAACCACACGGGGTTTCTATACATTTCGGATGCAGCGCCATCCATTGCAAAACCATTGCTTACCATAAAATGAATACGTGTTATGAATTTCAACCTGAACTCCGGCGGCACTAATAGGGTAAATTTGTATCAAAAGAATTTTCCATCATACAGGCACATAGCTCACATTTAAAATTTGAACGAAATCGGTTAATAAATACGATTTTATAAATAACTCTACTCCAGCACCACCTAGCGAGTTTTCCAGTAGCATGTAATTGGACCATATATGTATGTATGTAAGATAACCTCCGACAATCTGACGGAACTCTATTCAGTGGTTTTTGAGTTTATTATTTTTGAAAAGGGGAATTACACTGTTCTCTCGATTTTAAAATGAGGTGCCAAGTGAAAGGTATTCACCTAATATGTGCTTTGGTTTCATTTGTTTTAAGGTTTGCCACCTAATCATAAATCTATTGCTTGAAATATGAAACTCTGTAAAATATCGCAATATGGGCATAGAAGCGTAAGGTTTTTTACTAAATTAATATGTTCGTGCTTTAAGAGTTCCCACCCATTAAAAAGTATATACAGTGGCGGTCAAAAATGGATGAATGGTGTTTCGTTTTTAATACTTACAGTGTTGTTCACTCTAAAATTTTTTTGATATTTTTTTATAAAAATATAGTTCAGCTTTAACATTTGATTAAAAATCGTAATCTTTTGTTTGTAAATGGTCCATATTTGGAAGAAATAAGTTAATTGTAAAATCAATAATTTTTAAAGAAAGCTTTCTAAATATGAACGAATCGGACAATAACTACTGGTTTACCAGACTCGTGCGCCACCTATCGGCAAAATATTTAGTGCA